AGGAGTTGTACATATGGTACAGCAGTTTTGTCAGTATTACATATTACTGTTACTTATCAGTATTTTCTTTACTTTATTTTTTAAATATACTGCCTGTGTATGGATAACAGATGTTTTTTATATATATATTCAACTGACAGAACATGTGTGAGGCATAACTGATGATTTGATTTATTTGTTTCACTGTTGTCTGTGGATGTAAAGCAAATTATGAGATGTATTTTGCACAACTCTCTGTGTTTTTAATAAATTGAAAGTAGGCCTAATGGATGAGTGTGTTTGTGGAGATTTGTATATATATGGTTCAATGGTAAAAATGAACATCATTGAATTTTAACTTAACAGAGAAGTCTAAGAAAAGTTTAATTTGTCAGCACACAGCATTATTTTACCTCCTCAATACAAAACAACTGAGCTGTAGTTAGTTGTTACTGACACAGCAGTTGGTGGATGTTTAACAACGTCCATGTCTTTTCATTGATAGAACATAACAAGGTCTTGTGACGTGCAAACCTAAATTCCCAAGAAGTTTAAAAAAAATGTGTCAAAGTGAAAACCTACAGACGAGCGTTCTGGCTTCAGTGTCACCTGAAATGTTTCATTCAGACAGGTCTTCCATTTTATGCCACCTTTATGTATCTGAATCACTGAATTCATACAACATGTTAAATTATAGAAAATGGCATGGTAAGAAAATACACATAAACAGGTTTTAGTATTAGAGGGAGACACCTAATAAAAAGCAGTAGTCAACCATGAACAAAGAGTAAAGGTTAGGTTAAAATGAGGTGTTCCTGAGATATCACAGTCACAATGTGAACCGTGTTTTGAGAGGCCGCAGTGAACCTTTGACCACAAAAATATAATCAGTCCATCTCTGAGTCCAGATGAGTGTTTGTACCAAGTCTGAGGAAATGCTCTGGAGGTCATCTTTAGATATCGTGTTCACAAGAACGGGACTGACGGACTAACGCATTATTAAATGATCCAGGCGGAAGTAGCTTCTTTCTGACCTTATTTTGTAAGTCAAGCCGGAAGTGTCGCCGTGTAGCCTGCTAGCCGTTAGCTTGACGGCGAGGCGGGAGCGGGAGTGGACTACAGTCAGTTGACAGCGGGGCAGGAGGGCAGGACTCACCGGGTCGGTTACCTGAACACTCTCGGTCGGCAGCTCGGTCCTCGTTGGTTCGCTAAGTCGCTGGATTTCTTCGCTGGAAGACTTGTTCTGTATGCGTCCGAGGGAAAGAGCGAGCCCGGGACCATGCTGACATTATCCGGAGCCACTCTTCGCCTTTGTTTGTTGACTGTTTTCTGGTCAACTTGGTCGCCGGCTGACGTCCAAGCTTCTGGTGAGTAGCTGCGGCTCTAAAGTGCGACGCTTTACTTTCGGTTCCGTCTCTTCACCATGTTTTTATCAAACCGTGACGAAGCCGTTTTTTGTCCCCGCTCAACAACCCGGGTCGATAAATACAAACCCAGCAGTGGTTAACTAGTTGGTTTGGTTAACTTGTTCCCATCCCCCCCCCCAGTGAATTAGATTTAATGTCAAACGTTATTGTGACAGATTAAACTCCGATCACCCCCCCCCCACACACACACACACACACACACACGCAGCTCTGCGTGTGTGTATCACAAAATAAACGCGTAGACGATAGATCTCACTTTATTATTTCTTTTTGTTTGGTTGTGATAAGATGTGAGGTGAATCAATAATAACAACAACGACACTTTATTTCCACAGCACTTATTTAAAATGGATAAGAACACGTGAATAAAGTAACACCAAACAAGACAGAACAAAAACTAATACATATCAAAGAAAAGGCTCAAAACAAACGATGATGTGTGTGTTATACCGTCCTCACGGTGTTTTCACAATAAGTATCACATTGATATATATATATATATATATATATATATATTGGACTATTTGCTACTGATGAAAATGATATGGCGATCATTACTGATCCAGACCTCTTACACATTATTATGAATCTGCTGTTTATGTTCAGACATTCACAGTAACCTGATCAACACTGAAGCTATGAGATTGTTTCATAAGTATTTCCTGGTTATACCTCCCTTCAACTCTTCAGTTACACATATATATTATATAGAAGTAATTCCCCAGTATGATCCTTTTTTAAAGTCATACATTGAAGAATTATACCTGCAGCCGTATTCATATTGAAAAACTTTATATATTTTATAGATATTCACTTTGTGTTGTATATTAATTAGGGACAAATGAGGAGTCATTGTCTAATCCAGCTACTTTCATTTTACCTCATTGCCCATCTCATAAAATATTAAAAAGACAAATCCAGGAGATATGAAGATGATCAGTATTTTTTATTATCAGAATTTCTTTGGTCCCCAATGGTTAGTCTTTTGTTGAAAAAATTAAGACACGCCCCCAACCAAAGGTTTATATGATAAATATATGAACTAAATCATAATGAGTATTCTCTTATAATGTGAGCCTTCTTTATAGAGTCAGATCTCTATCGATTTTTGGGGGGGCAGCACCGACATTAGGGAGATATTAGCCGATATGTATAGTTTAAAAAATAGTTTAAAAAAAATCGGTGATGATTCCTAGGATGTCGTTATCAAACCCTTATGACAAAGAAATGAAATTAAAGCTTGATATTTTACAATTAAACCACAAACATTATTATAAATAACTATAATTAAAAAGATAATACAAACAAATATATAGACCTCTTTTTAGTGTATAGATTTTTTATGTAACATGTAAACACACACACATCTTTTCATCTTTTCAGTATTCTGTAAAGTAAACACAGATAGTGTAATATGTCAGTGAACGACTCATACTAGCTGATTAAATCTGTGGGGCTCTATGTTTTTATCTGATCACAAATTTTGGTTTGTGGTTTTGTCTGCACGGCCTAAAAGCCTCTTGTAACCTCATTGATCATTTTAGACCATGAGATTTCCTTGGATGTCAAGCTGAAGTCATATGTGTGCGTTTTCTGCTTTTCCCTTCATCACAGAAGAGGATGCTTTCACCATCCAGCACCTCGGCACAGGGAAGTGCCTCGGCACAGGGGCCTCGGCAAACCTGAGCCTCATCACCTGCAATGCAGACAGCCGGTCCCAGATGTGGAAGTGGGGTTCGGGTCACAGGCTCTTCCATGTGGCCTCGTCCACCTGCTTGGCGTTGGAAGTACTCTCCAAAAGGTTGTCCCTGGTTGACTGTGGCGCCAACATCCCGCTGAGTTGGCACTGTCTGGATGGAGCAGTTTACACTGTTTATCAGATGGGCCTGGCGGTCAGCGAAAGCAAAGTTGCAACCAAACGGGACACTAATGATTCTTGGGTGAGAGGAGGGTCGCAGGACAGTATCTGCGAGAAGCCTTACCGTGGTGAGTGTGTTTTCCATTCTCTTCTCTCTGAGAGACAAAAAGCTTACACACTGATCCCAGCACAGCACAAAGTCCCCGCTCCAAGAAACCATTATGATGCTGAGGACTGACTCATGCTTGTGGAAATTCTCAGTGGAGGATTGAAAGTTAAACGCACACATTAAACTAGAACACATTAAAGTTTGTCAGAGGATGCACCTGCTGAATTGCATGTGCATTGACTCCACCTTTTGTGATACAGTCTTGTGAATACAAGTGTTGGCATTTGTGTCTCATGACCAAACAGGTTCAGGTGCATTTTAAACCGCCTTACTGTCGCCCAGAAAGGTAAAGTACACGGCAGTGGTTTTCCTCGGTGTCAGCTGGTACAAGATCAGTCACAATAAGAAAAATAAACAAATTAAAAATTCCAGGACTCACCAGGATGGGTTGACACTATCTATGAGCTCCCTCTGTCATTTTGTAAAATGTTTATTCAAACAAACTGTCAATCATAGTATCCTGGTGGAAGGTGGAAGGTTTTATTTCTTTACAGTCATTTACCCTGTAATGCGCGGAGTAGCACCATGTGTGCTGTGGAAGTTTGGGGGATTTCCTCAGAGATCACATGTGCAGAACAGAGATATGCAGCACATCTCTGGTGCAGTGGAACACGAAAGACTTTCACTTTCGCTTCATGGGAATAATGGCACTATGAGAATAGACAAGGAATGCGTGGCTGTTGAATTTATGATTTAAATTTATAAGATGTACAATGGCATTAAGTTATTATTCTTCAAATAATGTATCCCTCTCATCTGAACTGTCATTTGGAATTTTGCTAAAATATGAAAAAGTTGAAATGATGTCTGCTTACATCACTGTTTGATCACATATGGAAGGAATCCAGGTTTTTAAGCCTCATGTATGTGCATTTTTATATGCTTTCTTCTTTAAAGAAATGTAAAGGACTTAGACTGGTATAAAGATGCATTTAAAATTTGAAATCTAAAATTTGAAAACAAAATTAGTTTAATAAGATATTTTAGTTCTCTTGTGTCTCTTTCTGTTTTCTAGCAACAAACTCATTTTATTATTTTCTGCACAAAGATGAGTCTTATTCCTTTATTCTCTCATGTGTTACTTTTTCTCTAGAAAATAAAATTTCTCTTTTTCACACTCATTCCAGTTTAGGGAGTAGTGGTGCCTGTAGAGTCATTTTTCATCATTTACATTTGCAGAAATGCAACACTGAACTAATGGCACTCTAAAGAGCATACGTCCACCAAGGTCCAACAGTTCCTCTATGAAACCACATTCAAATTCACCAGATCCATTTTTTTTTTCATCAAGATCCGATGAATTAGAAATCAACGGAAATGTTGAAAATGTGAAAAGAGTTGAAAGTGTAAAATGGAATCCAGAATAGGCCCCCTGTCCAAAAGATTATGTGTAATTCTGCTGATTAACAGAAAAAATGTAGATGAAAACTTAACCTCCTTGGTATGTCTTCAGATCATCCTTATTTTTGATGACCAACAAATTATTCAAAAACAAAAAACACTCACACATACGCTCAATGTGTGTTTGAGTATCTTGAAAAGAGGATGTGTTTGTAGTGAGACTTTGACGCTGCTCTTTGGTCACTTCTCTCTGTGCAGTCGTCCACACCATCAACGGAAACTCTGCTGGTGATCCCTGTGACTTTCCCTTCAAATTCAATGGCAGCTGGCATCATGGCTGCCTCCCCGACGCAGATTCCCCTGGATTGTCCTGGTGTGCCACCTCCTCCGACTATGACCAGGACAGAAAAAAGGGAAATTGTCTAACACGAGGCATGTTGCACATTATCTTTTAAGTATTATTAATGTTTTAATAATTTTCGGTACTGAATATGGAGACATTGTGGGCCATGTTTTTCTTTTAAACTATTCTTATTTTAATAAATTCTGTTGAAATAAATGCAGCACACACACACTCAAACTCACTCTGTCTCTCTGACTTTGCAGAGGAGGGCTGTCAGACTCTGTTTGCCGGGCCAGAGGGGGGATTCTGTTACGAGTTTGTATCCAGTGCCACTGTGACCTGGCAGGAAGCTTTAGATTCGTGTCGCAGTCAGGGGGCTGATCTGTTCAGCCTGACGGGGCCCAATGATCTCCACTCCAAAACCCGTAAGTTTGACTTGCCTCCTACTTGCCTCCTTTTTCTCATCTGTCTTCCTCCCAACCAGTTAAGAAATCAAAAACGCGAAGTGAGTCAAAGTCATTTCTTTTGTTTCTTATTGAATTATGCATCAGTCAATCACATGCTCTGATATGACAGAACTTCATCATTAAGACATTAAAACTGCAATAATAATGAAGTAGTAGGAGTTTTTTGTTGTTGCATTTTGGATGATTTTAGACGGGAAATTATGACAGGAAATAAGCCCTACTGTAAATATAACTACAGGGCTGTGTTTTTCAGAGACCATATTTATACTGCCTGAGGAAAATAGTTTTGTTACATGGGCAGCTGCTCTCCCTGTAAGAAACTGTAGGAAGAGAGAAGCAGAAAGAGTAATATCTGTTTTATTCACACCACACAAAATACAAATTTAAATGTTTAACAATTTTCAGTAATGTCACATATGATCTTTTATTTACTGATCAATAAATGCTTTTCTACCCTTTATTGAGCAGAAAATATGTTTTTTCCAGGATGACATTTAAATTGTGTACAACTTGTAAATGTTACCATGGAATTGCTTTCTTTAATGTTTTACACCCATAGCTCTCCATGGCTGTGAGTGCTTTGTTTTTATTTAATTTGGTCATAACTTGTTTTAAGGTAAAAGAAAAGAAAAAGGTATATTAAAGAGCCCTCTATTAGAATGAGTAAAGGCATTACCTCATATCTTGCTCTGCAAACCATCTGCAGACATTCAGACTAAATCAGGTGTGGGATTTTGTTACTGCAGATCTGTTACATGTGTTTGCACTTGACTCCTGAGAAATTCTGGATGTGCTGATGTTGAGGCACGGTTTGTTATTTTCTCTTTTTTATCAAGTTGTGGCATTTCTGCTGTCATGCCCATCATAAATTATCACGTAGAGATCAACTGAAAACAAGTTAGGCAAGTTTGAGCACTAGAGATATTTAAAAAGAATTATTAAAGACAAAGCAACAGCACTGGTTTTTGTTTTAAAGTTTGTTTTTGGAATGAATGATTATTATCTTAACCTGCTTGGGGACGTCACATGACTTGCATTCAAAATATCCGTTGCTGCTTCTTTATATTTGTTACACTCTGGCCACTTGCTTTGGAAACTTCATAAAAAATAGTTTTGGGGGAATTCAAATTTTAACTGATATAATTGCTCGTTATACTGTTTTATTTTGGGGATAGCAAATATTTAAATCTGGATCTGCATCATTATTAAACCTTTATTCCTTCAGCGGAGATCGTCAGAGAGCCAGATTGATGTCTGCGTTAAGGGGATAGCTGGACTGGCCAGACAGACACTGGTGTTGTTGTGTCACATGTCACGCCTCTGTTTCCAGAATGCCAGCATTCTTTCTAAAATCACAAACTGGGTCTGGAACATGTCAGTTTAGTTTGGTTCTGTGTAAAGACGCAGAGGCAGAATCTCTGTGTAAAAGATGCTTGACAGATTTTGGACTTGGCCTGTGTTGCACCACTTTAGATTCTTGACAGTCTTCCTTTACAGTTTGGCCTTTACTCTTGTATGTTTTACTTTCTCTTCTTTTCTCTCTCTTTCATTTTGTTGTGAATCCCCTCATTTGTGTGTCATTGTATTATTTTAACAGCTCCTTGTGATCTTGATGATTCATATTGCAATATAGTTATCATTTTATTAAATTTTCTTGCCCTCCGTGTGGTGATGTTGTGCAGTACTGGACGGCCTTGGCGGAATGCCTGAGAGGATGTGGATCGGCCTTCACCAGTTAGACATGTCTCAGGGCTGGCAGTGGTCAGATGGCTCCCCTCTCTCCTTCCTGCATTGGGAAGAAGGTAATGATGTTCATATCTTTTTTTGTACTTTTAACATAGTGTGTTATTAAATTTAAAAGAGAATTCCACTGTAAATTTAGGGTCCTGACAGTCAAATTATGAGAATGTGCTTTGCTTAAGTGCAGTGATTATGAACACCAAAGTGAAAATGTGTCTGATGCTCATTTTTAAACTTTTACACTGATGACACTGTTTTATAAGTTTATGTGCCAACTTTTGTACAGGCCATGGATTCTTGAAAATACTCTGGGTCTGCTTTTTGCTTGAACGTTGATATGGCCAGAAAATATCCCTTCTTATTCAAAAAGTGAAAGTACAGTGAAAGCTGAAATCTTGCTTGATAAAATTTTTTTGGGTCACGAATACTGTTTTCTGTTTTCTTAAAAAAAGAGAAAACCACAGTTGCCTGAAACACCCACTTCTCCAAAAGCTGCATCCTGCTGTAATCTGCTGTTGCTGCTGTCGTTCTATAAACTGTGACTTGGTGTCAGTCAGAGAAACAATGAGGCCAGTGTTAAAGCTAAATAAACTCATTGTGCCTGGTTATTGGACAAAGTGTAGCATCGGGGTTGTTAGTATTGCTGAATAACCCATTAACAGTACTGAATGACAGGCCTTAAAAAGCCTTCTAGCTATTGTAATATGTTTTACTGTTTTCACTGCTTGTTACTGCAGCCATCTATCTTTCCATGATACAAGCTCTTTGTGGTTGCTGTAATTTACTACGTGTCAGTGCAGCTTGCAGCATTGTGTTTACTACTGCAGCATGAAACATTTCTGCTTCTCTGGTAAGCCGAACTGATATTCGGTGGTAAATGCAGCTCCTGCTCTGCTGTCACATTCATTGTGTGGTTTCATTTTAGTCATTGTGCATGTGAATGGGTTTTACAGGAATGCCATCCACCGTCGCAATTATGGAGTCAGATTGTGGAGTCCTGAACTCCAAGCAGAACTTTGAATCTGAGGCTTGCAACAAACATCTGCCGTACATCTGCAAGAAGAGCATCAGTGCCTCTCCGACAGCAACAACAGGTACACTGGCTGCTGCCCTCGCCATCTGCTTGACTACCTCGTCTGAATCGTACTTAAATAGCAGTAATAGTCAAATAGCCTTGCTAGCAACTCTGCAGAGGTTGTACTTCTGGACAGTGGTGCCTTGAGTTAGATGGTTCAGTTTGCATCCTAATACTTGTTACTTACTTATAAAATAAAAGAATGGTAAATATGGTAAATCTACATTATTTTCATAGCACTTTTCTAGTCCTTTACAGTCCAGGTGACATTCATCTATTCACACACATTAACACAGCACTTCTATATCAAGTGCTTTGTTAATCATGGTCACGTTTCTCATTTGCACTGCTGACATGGCCGTTTGAGGTTCAGTATTTTGCCCAAGGACACTTAAGAGTGTGGACTTGATGAGTGGGCAATTAAACCACCGACCTCCTGCTTAGAGGAAAACCTCAGGACAACTCAACCTCAGCCACCTCCAGATGAGAATGTTAGCAGTAGTGGCACCTACAGTTAATATTATGTCGGTTATAGGCCATAATATAATACTTCTAATAAAATGAAAAGTCAGGTGATCAGTCCATCTAATAAGTGTTGAGATATTTCAAGAAACAAACCTCACGATGGCATTAGAAGAGAAATCTATCTACTTTATCCACTGGGGAGGCTGAATATAAAATTTCATGGCAATATAGAGATATTTTAGTCCTGAGCAAAGTAATATTTAATACTGCCATCCATAGATCCAACACATTGGGTGGCTAAAAACAAATCTGCTAGCAGCCCATAGGTTCTTACATTACATCCAATATGACCAGTAGTTTAATCCAGCTGACAGATAAAGTGACAGGACCCTCGCAGCCCCACAACACAAACATTTTCTTCTTCTTCTTCAAAAAAGAACAAACCAATGAATAAAAGAAGAAATTTCATGTTTGTCTATTCTAGAGGGTCCAGGATATATTATGTCATACAAACTATTTAAAACTTTAATTAAAACTTGTGATTTAGGGATGTAGAGATAAAATGTAACTCTACCCTTCTTTCTCCCTCTCTACAGAGTCTATTGTATATAATGAAACAGTGTGTGCTGTCGGCTGGGTGCCGTGGAACGGCTGGTGTTACAAGTTGGTTAAGGATGAGCCTAAAAACTTTAAAGACGCCCAGCAGCACTGTGCCCAAACGGAGGGAGGAGGAGAGGGCTCTCTGGCCAGCCTCCACTCCATTGACTGCAAAGAGATGATCAGCACTAATTTCCATGCAGGTAAATCTCTCATTTTTCTCAAGTTTCTTATAAAATGTAGTAATTTTGACATCCGGGGGGAGCTTGCAGTAGAGTCGCTGCTCCTTCACGTCGACGGGGAACAGTTGAAACCCAGGGGTATGTATCCTGGTCTAGGAACGCTTCGGGATCCCCAAGGAGAAGCTGATAGACAGTTGTGTTGGATGTGATTTGCCTTCTTTCACAATATTTTGATGTTTTTCTCTCAATTTTAGAAATAGTTAAATTTTCACTTCGTCATCACTTCTGGATGTCAAACATGACAGATTAATGCTCTACTTTCTTATTTTTTTAACTTGCATTACTTAAAAAGGTGGATTACAGAATGTGACCCTGTCTTGACTGTTTGAGTTTGATTTAAAAAAAAATCTGTTACTAGATGTTTGATGTCGTGCTTGTGTTATGGTCCATCAGATGGCAAGTTCTTGGATGTCTGGATCGGTCTAGTCGGTATCCTAATGAACCAAACAACGGTCTTCAAGTGGAATGACCAGGCACCTGTCACCTTCACCTTTTGGGGCCCAAATGAACCAGTCCAGCCAACTCAGGACCCCAGCTGCGTGTTCTACTCTGGAGAGGTGTGTGTTTGTTGATGTGGGCATGAGGGCATGCATTTTCCTGTAACCCTACCTGTATTGCATTCAGCCTTTTTGTATTGTGTGTGTGTGTACTGCCAAGACTGTGTATTTGTCTTCTTGTGATCTTCTGTACAAGTTTGTTTAAATACAAAGCTGAAAAAAAATCAAATCCATGTCTCTGTTCTCCGCAGTCTCATGGGTGGCGGGTCGGGAACTGCACAGAGAGGCTACCTTTTATGTGTCAGACAAAAGGAGAAGTCAGGAAATCAGTGTCACCGGCTGGATGTCGCTTTGAAGACGTAAGTATTGTCTACATGACCCACCTTTCTGTCAGATGTTATGTTTTGGTCTATTCATATATATATTTAGAAGGGATATCTGTCCTTGCATACATGAACATTGTGTGCATGACCTACATGCGTACGTTAAGAATAATCGCAAAACTGTCACGGAGAATGAAGCTGTCGTATCAGTGTGTACTTGAAGAATGACCTGCTGTCGAGGTCAGATGAAATTTGGTCAAACTTTGAGTCATTTATGTGCAGATTCCAGCCAAGAATAGAAATACGTATAGATCAAGACAAAAACAATAAACAGTAATACAAAATATAGGTAAGAGTATAAACTAAAAATACAGTACCGGTATATATAATATGATACACCATATTATCTTTAGCTGTGTAGGCAGCTACTGCCAAAATGGAAGAAATAAAAAATAAAGCCGACATAGCTGGTGGGTTAAACTGAGGGCTCATGTGACAATTCTTAATCCAAATGCATCGCAGACAACTGAATGTGTGTCAGAACTAGGATTAAGCTTGAACTGACAGCGTATTTGCTTGTAATGTTAATGTGTCTCAAATCGTCCTGTGAATCTTTCAGGGTTGGAGGCGACACGGCAACTCCTGTTATCAAGTGAACACCAAAAAAGTCTCCTTCAAAGATCGCTGTAACATCACCATAAGAAACAGGTAGGACTTTGCTCCGCTGGTGACACTGAGAGTCATTAGTTGCTACCCACATGAATCCTTTTAGATGCCGTTTCATAAAGAAAGATCTGTTTTTAATTGAATGTCTCATTCATTACAAATTCTTCAACAACACAATTTTTGCTGCTCTTTGGGCAAGAAAAATTCACTAATATTTGATTTTTCTGTCTAGATTTGAGCAGACCTTTATCAACCGTCTTCTTGGAGAGTACATCAACAAGGAGACTCAATATTTTTGGATAGGCCTGCAGGAAATTAAGAACACTGGAGAATACCAGTGGCTGAGCCAGGACGGGTCCCCACATTTGTTAACATACACCAACTGGGGCTGGTCGGAACCAGGTTTGTAAAAAACACACAGCCGCTACCCATGAGTTACTGCAGTGTTATAATGTGTTGTATGTCATTCTGAACATCTATTTCCAGAATATTGTGGTTCAGTCCAGTGCAGAAGTTCAAATTTTATGGCTTACTAATATAATATTGCAAAAATGTAGCCAGGTCTGATGCATCTCTGCTGAGGCTCATGGAATGCAGGGTCAGAATTTGGCATCAAAAGCATAAATTTATGAACCCAGCCTGCAGGATAGAGGTGGTAGTATAATAATGAGTGGAATGCTTCCTTGGCTCCTTAATACCAATCAATATTTGTTTGCGTGCCACAGACTAAGTGGGTATTGTTGCTGACCATGTGCATCGCTTCATGGCCACAATTTACCATCTTCTGATGGCGACTTCAAGTGTGATTGTGAGAAATGTCCTTTCCATTTTCCCAAAGCCGAGGTATTGTCATCAAATGTCTTGATAAACAGTTCAAATCCAGGTATTCAGTTAAATATAACACAAGAGTTAAACCATAAAACATAAATACTTTGAAATATTTGGTTAGAATTTTCGGTCCAATGACTAATATATTTTGCAGCTCTAGTCTAATAATAATATTAACACATTTAATAATATAAAAACATTAGATTTTTTATCTATGTTAAAGTTCATGTAATCTGTATGATTCAAAACAACTATATTATACATTTTCAGTGGTTCCTATATTTGTATTTCAGATCAGCATGGAGGTTGTGCTGTGATTTCCACTGCTCAACCCCTGGGCAAGTGGGAATTGAAGAACTGCACCAATTTTACGGCCGGCACCATTTGTAGAACTGACCTTAGTCCACCCCCAACCACCGAGCCAGAGTTGAACTCCAACGCCAGCTGTCCGAATGGATGGATGTCCAGAGAAAACATGAAGTACTGCTACAAGGTGCGTGTGGCTATGTCTTTAAATGTATGTGGTCGTTGTCATGTTGACTGTTTCACCATTAGGAGCCTTTTGTAATAAGCCTCAAGTGATGTGCTTTTAGTCGGCGGTGGTTGGGACCAAAAACTTAAAGACTGATTATAACATTTTGTGAATTGGAAAAAAATATGTTTATCAGACTTGTGCAGTTCACTCGCTGCCTCTGTTGGAGCCAACATAGGCCGCTACTAGCATAACACGCCCAAATCTCGGACCTTGAACGTTTATCAGCAAAGCTGCATTGTTGGAACTGTAGGCAGCAGGATTTGACAAGGAAGAATACATGGTATGAAAAGGACAATTATCAGTTTTGATTTTATTTTTAGGATCACACTGCTAAATCGGTGGAGTGTTCTTTTAATTAATCCCAGAAGGGTAGATTATGAATCACTATTCACTCAAAACAGAAACCCAGCATGGTCTATCATCTGTCTAATCCCCTTTGTTTTCTCATTGTTATGGATTGTCACTACACATGAAATGACTTGGCATGTGGATTAGCTTTCTGTACTGTGTTTTCCAGTGTCTGTTGCTTCACTGGTGCTGTGTTAGTAGCTGCTGTTGTTTTTTTTTGTCAGGTGTTCCATGAGGAGCGGCTGAGCAGAAAACGCTCCTGGGAGGAAGCCGAGAGGTTCTGTCAGGCTTTGGGAGCCAACCTTCCCAGTTTCTCAAATATTGCAGATATGAAGGACCTGCACAGCATCATGAGAGACACCATCAGGTGTGCACATGTATTTATTGTGTTACTTATTGTATTCCTCTCTCACATGAGATATTCACATATTTAGGGAACTAATATCGAAGAGTATGTGAAATTTGGTGGAACTTGATTGCATGCAATGTTGGGAAAGGTATTCACCCTCCTTTTAGTTTTATTATCTTTTTCTTATCCTGAGTGTTGGTGGTTTGCTCTGGTGTTTTCGTTGCAGTGATAATCGGTTCTTCTGGGTCGGCCTGAACAGGAGAAACCCATCCGATCGATCCTGGGTCTGGAGCGATGGCCAACCTGTGAGTAAATTTATAGCGTATTTTATTATAAAGCCTAAACCCCAGCCTAACACATCACAAGAAGACATACAGTTTATTGTGGATCGTACAATGTCAATATCAATCTGTGAATTCTTAGAATTATGAAACAAATCAAATTGTGTTTGAAAAAAGGGATCTGTGCAGGATTAAATGACCTTTATTCACCATATTACCTCGTGTGCACCTGCAGCTGAAACAGGAACTTTATTTGACTTGAGCACATCATATCTGCTTTACATAGAATAATCACACCATGGTGCACTCTGTTTACTCAATGTGTCTTCAACAGGTATCTTTGAAGGTTGTAAACGATGATTTCCACGAGGATGATTCATACAGACGGGACTGCACTGCATTCAAGGTGGACTGAGTAGATTTATTCTACACTATGAATACATGTTTGTCCTGCTTTTAGTCTCCCTTTACATCTCATGTTATGATTTATTTAATTTAAAGTCACTTCATGCATCCATGGCTTACAGTAATGCATGCTTTGCTACGACAGGTATTTTCATTGTTAGATAGTTTCCCATGCTGTACAGCTTGATCAAGACCATAGAGTTTACCTAAAGATGGACGACATGTCTGCTCCCAAAAAGTGAAGCCAAAGTAACTAGTCGCAGTGTCTAAACCCAGACTCTATGTTAGTGGATGGTACACGAACTAAACTAATTAATCTTTTCAAAGATGTTTTTTGATATTTTAGGTAGTTCTTATCACACTGATGTGTCCAAGTGTCAAAGTTTCAGATAAGACTAGTTTCAATTCCTTAGGTTGTAATTGAAATCCAAGACTGACTTGTGATTCAGTGCATGAATCCACAGGACCTAGTTTACATGGCTCCACCCCCCTCCCAATCCCCACTGTGCAAACTCATGCTCCAAATGTCATCGGCACAAGACGGCATTGTTCGTATCCAGAGTATTTTGGCTTTATTTCTCAATAGTGGGAGGAAGTGGAGACACGTCGTCCATCTTTATATGCAGTATATGATCATGGCCATTTGCAGCAGCTGATTGTCGGAGTAATGAGAAGAGCTGCAGCTGAAATCAAACCCCACTGACTCATGTCCTTCATTCTAGGACATTTTTCTCTTGTAACTCAGACAATGAGAGTCTTGGTCAGAGATCATGTCGTCAAATAGTCGTTCTCTGCTGGAACTGAACTGAACTGTGTAATGTCACAGTTGTGTAACTTGTGGTTTCTTTTCTTCCTGACAACATTTGTGTTATAATCTGTGTCCTCATTAGACAACAAAGAGCAGCTTGAAACACATTCTTGTGTTTCTGCCCCCTCCTCTACCTTTCTATGCCATACCATTTCACTGTGATGCCAGGCTGGAGTGGGCCTGCCAAATACCCCGAGGTAAGATTATACGTAGAAGTAGGAACAGCCATGAAGTTAATAAAGTGCTGTTTCCGAAACCTTATGGGTCTGAATTCAGTAATAGCTTGTTGTTTGCATGCTGAAATTGATGGTCTGCTTCTAACTCACTCTTTGTTGATGCTTCAACAGGAAAGACGCCAAAGAACCCAGACTGGTACAATCCCGGTAATGACTGAATCTTTCCAGAACCTATATTCAAAGTCTGACTATCTTTTGAATCTGAGCTTTTAATGTAGTTTGTCAGTTGGTCAGTGGCCAGAATTTATTTGATCCATGATTTTTCTCAGACAATTTTCAATTAAAGGGTGTTTGCATGTTGTGAAAAGTCTTGAAAACATTAAATTCAGTGCCCGTATCTGCTCTTTGTTGTGCCTTTCAGTTGGGCACCATGAGACCTCTATCTTCGTAGATGGAGCAGAGTTTTGGTTCGTTCAGGAGCCTAAGCTAGCCTTTGAGGAGGCGAAGCTCTTCTGCAACAGTAATGGCAGCAAAGTGGCTGCACCAAGTAGTTCCACAGCCATCATAAAGATACACCAGTACCTGAAAAATGTAAGTAACTGGAGTCTGTAAGTGGCCATGCAATGACTGGGCTGATAGGAGTTGCATCAACCCAGGACCCAGTCAATTAGCCCTGTCCCCCTCAGTCATGGTTCTACAGCTGTTTTACCTTTGGGCCAAGGACAGCACGTGTACAGTGTACACTGATAACAGTGGCAGAAATAACACTCAAAATTCACAGTCGATGTCAGACAGACGTAGACAAAAGCAGACTTTGTTTTGATTTAATCTGTCAAATCTCGTATAAAGTGGTCACATAAGCTACAATGCAAGTTTGTGTTTGTGCCTGCCTGCCAGCCAGTCACTGTTAATCAAACACAGACACTGACTGATACAAAGGGAATGTT